TCTTCTTGAAAATTAAAAAATATTAGATAACTTTTTAGCTAAGTTCTATATCTCTTTTAAATTATTGAGGAATAATTTTAATCAAATAAATTTATGCTCGAATTTAAGCTCTTCACGAAAATTAGAAAGTATTAATAATAAATTTTTAGCTGTTTTATATTAGCATTGTTGAACGGCCCAATTAAGATTATAACCAAAATTTTATTTTGTAAGCCTGTAGATTTTAAACATACATGGCAGAAAGGTTTTTACCTCTATTTGCCAAATCTCCAATCTTGCATAATATTAATTTGGCTAAAATCTTAATCAGGCCGTCCAAAACATCACTATATCTCTTATATTATTCAAGAATTTGTTGATCAGACCATAATTACTTCTCAGATTTATTAATGTTTGAATCTTTGAATTATAGAAAAGTTTTTTTTCTAAATAAAAAATATTATAAAAAAATAATACAATAGCAAAAACCAAAAATGATTTATATTTTAATTTCTATACCTAAAAAAATAAATTCTCATCATGTACATAAAAAAATTTATAAACAAAAAATAAAATATTATTTGAAAAAAAAACATGATCTAACTTTGTCTGTTTATAAAATAAATAAAAAATATAAAAAATGTATCAGACATGAGTTTGCAAAAAGTAAAAATAATTATATAAAATAGTTAAAATTAAGTTTTATCCACGCCTTAATTTCATTTTTTTCTGGAATTATTTATAAGGGTAAATAAATGAGAAAGCCGTTTATTTTAGCTCGCTATAACACCTGGTTCTTGAGATATAGGGGCTCAAATCTGTAAAATTTTTAAAATGCTTATATCTCAAAAACTAATTATAGATCATATTGTAAGTGTAAAAATATTCTCTAAAGGGGTATCAAAAAATAATAAAAATTGGCGCCAAATTGAGTCTTTAACATTCGGTTTACCTATAATGCTTTACCTGTATTTTTAAGCAAAAAAGGGAGTTCGTTTTCAATGATATAATAAAATATATATTTATTAAATAATGTGAACAGGATTTCCATTAGTGTTGTTAAACGGCTCTTTTTGAGCCGATTTTTAAAAACGGCTAAATCAATATTTTAACCAGAAAACAATTGTCTAAGCATCGAGTTTTCGATAATAGATGTCTAAACCTTTGTGCCATCTATCCGGATCTGGACCTTGGGTCTGAAAGCCGGGTCTGTGCTGGGGTTCGTGCTCAGAGCTGGTTTTGTCGATATTTTAGACCCAAACCCCGGGTCTGGGCTCTACACAACCAACCAATTAACAACACTACTTATGCAGGCAAAAATAATTTTATATGTAAATAGGAAAATATCAAGTGCAGAAAAGGCCAATTTTATGTAATATTAAAGAACTTTTCATTCACTTTAGAGAGACTCATAACGATATACAGTTAGGTCTGAGTAGGTTTGCTTTCTTACCTAAAAACTGTGTTTTAGCAGGTGGTCCAGGTACATATACCATGTGTATCTACACATTACATTAAAATTTTAAGCTTATTATAATAGGTGAAAAATTAAAACAGCTATCAAACAATATTGGTCATTATAATTATCCTTTATAAAAACAGAACAAATAAATTAATTAATTAATAATAACTAATATGAAATATTCGTCCTCTGGTCGACTCAATTATATATTTCGTATTCATGGTCAAGTTGAAAGTCTAAAGTATATAAATGTAAAAAATAGATCACAAATATCTTAATTAATAAAATTTGAAATATTCGTCCTCTAGTCGACTCACGTTCATATAAGTATAACTATTCGTCCTCTAGTCGACTCAAGTATATATTTTGTATTCATAACTCAAGTTGGAAGTCTAAAGTAAATAAATGTAAAAAACAGAACAAATATCTTAATATATAAAAACTAATTTGAAATATTCGTCCTCTAGTCGAATCAAGTTCATAGAACTATTCGTCCTCTGACTAAGTATATAATTCCTATTTAAATCTCAAGTTGGAAGTCTAAAATAAAAAAATGTAAAAAACAGAACAAATCTTAATTATTAATAATTAATTTGAAATATTCGTCCTCTAGTCGACAACTCAAGTTTATGAAAATATTCGTCCTCTACTCGACTCAAGTATATAGACTTGAGTTCACGACTTGAGTCGATTTGTGTTCACGACTTGAGTCGACTTGAGTTCACGACTTGAGTTCACGACTCAAGTTCATAACTCAAGTCAGTTTGGGTCGATTTTTTCGACCCAAAACTTAGACTCAGTTTTCGACTAAGTCGACTCGACTCAGTCGATTAACAACACTAGTATTATAGATAGAGCTTTGATTCAAATTTTTTAAAGATTAATAATTAGACTCTACATTGATATAAAATTTGTTTGGTTAAACCTAAATTTAATAGCTTTTTTTCAAAAAAACAAAAACATGGCCATTCATGGCACATTTCCCCTACTCAATTTTTTTTTGAATAAAATTATAAGAGAAATTGATACTGATAAATGAATAGTAAACAGTTAACATAGACTATTTATGGTATATTGATTCTAAACTAAAATTTTATCTATTCATGATTTTATTAAAAAATTTTAATTGGTATATTTAGATAGGCTATATCTTTATAAAAGTATTAATAAAGACCAAAAAAAATTATGTCTACCATACCCCCTCCCAATTTGGAATAAAAAAGCATAAAATATTGACACATTTTATAATTAATATTATACTCAGCATGTCTGCTAGGATAATTGGGATAAAAGATTTTTAAATATATAATGGTTAACCAATTATATATTTTTTTAGATAAAATTATGAAATTTGTTAATGGAAAAGAGATTAATTATTTTTTCTTTAAAAAATTAATTGAATATGCATATATGGATTGTTCTTCCAATTACATTGTCTTCAATGAAGTACTATCAGTAAAGAATACAGAGAAGAATTCCGTAGATAATTTTAACATAGTGGGTATCTTGTTCCATAGAAGGGAATCTATGATTAAAGATTCAAAACAGAAAAGATGCAGAAGTTGCTACACATAAATCAGATTTATCTTGTAAACCTGTCAAATTTTTTTTCTTTTATCTGCTTTAAAAATTTCATAAATTCTTAAAGTAATTCATATTCTTTTAAAGATTATTAATAAAAAAATCATGTTTAAAAAATTTCGTAGACCAAATAAAATTATTTTCTTGATCATTTTGATATACATGTAATGGTTAAAGTACCAAATATAGTAAAGATTATGGCTTGAAAGTCTGTTAAGATATTGAATTGATATTGCCAGGATATCATAATAGGGTAATCGTGGGTAATAAATATTTAGAAAATCGAAAAAATTATATATAGGAAATAAGAGCCACCATTAATGGAATATAGAAAAGTGTAAGATAACTATTAGCAAAAAATGCAACCTGGCCATTAAGGCATGCAATAAGCTGACCAAAAATTTTTTTAAATAGAAATATAATATTATTTTCCTGGTCTCCAAACCCTGAACCTGATAAGATATTTTTCCTAAAACCCAAACCCATTTTTTTAGAAAGAGGGTTCACAGACATGGATACAACTATTTTTGCCAATAACAATACCCCACTTAACCATTTATTTTATTTATCAAATTTATTTTTTAGAATATTATAAATGTATCAAACAATAAAATAATATTCATTTTTCTTCTTAAATTATCAATGTTGCCACACTGAATATTTGTACAAGTCCACCAATGCTGAAATAAAATCAAATGTAAAACATAACATTTGTAATGTTATCCAAATCTAAATTATAAAATTAACAATTTATATAATAAATTATAAAAATATTTAATAAGTTTACAAAATAATTATTTTTTTTAATGCAATGCATAGGTTGATCAATGGTTGAATAATTTGGTATGGTAAAAAAAAATAAAAAGTATTGGCCTGAAATATTCAATATTCATGCATATCTGTAATAAATAAATGATTCCATTATATAAGTCAGATTAGTCTTGGACATGCTAACTATATTATTTTATCATTAATATATGATTTAATCAAATTTAGGCAGTTTAAATAGTTTAAAAAGTGGAATCAGTTTTAAATTAGTAGACTTAGTACAAATTGGCCCAAAGTCTGGTCTGAAGTATTTTTTTTTAAACAGAGGCTTGGGATAAATCCTTTTTTTAAATTGCCTTTAAAAAAATGTAGAAAATAATTTGAAAAAAATAATGTTTTCTCTTCTTTTATTCATTTGAAATGATCATTTCTCTGGAATCAAGATATATTTGTTAAATGTAATTTTATAGAAATGTGTTAATTATACCCATCCCCTTATGAAATTTTGCTGTTCAGATAAATATCACTATAAGTTAATATAAATTTCCCACTACACCCACCCCCTATCCCCTAAATTTATATACAATATATCACTATAAACAATTTTTAAATAAAAATAAGTAAAAATTGATAATTTTTTTAAATAGTGACTATAATTCAAAAATTTTATAAAAAAACCTAAAATTATTCTTGAAAAAATGTGCCATAATAGTGAAATGTGTGAACTTAAATACCTTTAATAAAATTTATATAAAAAACCAAAATAGTGCTTCCCCATTAAGTTTCTAACACCAATGTCAATTAAAATTTTTTGGCATGGCCTGGTTTAGAAATTAATTAAAATATGTTTTGTAGTCTAAGGCTCTACTCATAAAATGGAATAATTTTAATAATTCAAGATGAACAAAAAAAAATTGAAAAACAGGGAAGGGCTAATTTTAATAATTTGATATTATATAAATAATCTATCATTTAACATTCAATTATCCTATTTTCAATTTTCCTCAAAAATATTATAAAAAGGAACTAAATTATTAAAATATTAAAAATCAAACCCAGGCTATAAAATGACTAAAATTTAAAAATGGGTTCTGGCTAGGCTTAAAAATTGGTCTAGTTTTTAAAACATATAAAATAAAACAGGCCTTTTATTCTAAAAATATGTGGAACAGGGGAGCTTTGGCATTAATTATATTAATTTATATAAAACTTGTCTCTTTTTTTGGTTTTTCTGTATTATTTTTGGGGTTATTGTATGTATTATCTATTGAAGTGGTTTGTGTATCATCCTTTTCAGTTGAGTGATTAACTTCATTTTCAAAAGGTTTAGGTGAGCCCTTTAATAGTATTTGATAATGAAAATTTGGAAATGATGGTTTCAAAAATAATGAAAGTAAACCACTGAGTAAAAATTAAAACTATATAAATATATTTATAAATATATATACCTTTTAACATGTGATAAGGCTATAACTCCTAGTAAAAAAAAATAACCAGTAACTAAAAGATTAATATAGTTTTTAGAAAAAACCTATGATCATATATTTATAAAATTTAACAAATTAGTCACTTTAAAAAATATATATAATCCCAATAATGTTGCACTAGCTGTTAATGGAAATATCGCTGCATCCTTGTGTGATAAATACTCAGCGGGTTCGCCAGATTCCTTAAAATTTGTAGTATATTTTAAAAAAAATAAAGTATACTCTTTGCTTTTTGTGATATGACACTGATTTTAAAGCACCCCAGAAAATGGGCAGGATTGCCATGAACAATAAACTAAGATCAGCTATCAATATTCCCATTGGTTTTGCTTCAAACTTTATGGTGTTATTCCCGATTGCATTGGTAACATTTGAATATGAAAAACTATTATTTTCTGTCATTTTAGTAACTTGATCGTAAATTTAGAAACGTCAATATACCCACGTGGTTTATAAACAACCATGATTAATATCGAAACGAGTTAAAGTTATGATTGGTCATTTTTTTTGTTTGATTTTACTTGAGTTAATTTTATTCTTAAAATGATCAGTCAAGAAAATATGATGTTACAAAAATATTACATGCCCCACATAGGCAAATTTGAAACTGTTCGCTAAGATTAGTGAAAAGTTTGGGAAAAAAAATATTCAGGCAAAAGAGCGTTTTTTTTCTTATATCTAGTTTTAAAGATGATGTCGATTCGATGCATCTTTTCATTTATTTAAACTTGAACTCCATCCAATTTTCATCACTAAGCACCAACCAATGATATTGTCATCAACACAAATGTTTTCCATCAATAGGCATAGAAAAATAATAGCACAAACAAGGGGTAAATTTTTATAATCTATCTTATCATTTAATGTTATACCATTTATTTTGGATCTTTAAATATTATCTTTTCATTCTTAACCAAATAATTTTGATGGTGGATGTTTCATCTTTATTACATTTATATTATTATTTACCGATGTCCTCACTACGTCATCGTGACGTCATGTCATCGGTACTTATTTATTTATATTTTATTTTTTTTCTATACAAACAGATGATCCTATAACTTAAGTTTTCTATGCAACTGTAGGATGCCATATTAAAACCTTAAATATTCTTATAATTTATCATCACAAAATTTTACACCCTTTGCAAGTATTGGATATCAAAACATTACATTAAATATATCTATTTACAAAATATTACAACTTATTATTTATTATATTTTTCTTCTAAACAAACAGATGATCCTATAACTTAAATTTTCTATGCAACTGTAGGATGACATATTAAAACCTTAAATACTCATAATTTTTCATTACAAAATTTTACATTGGATGTCAAAGTAATACATTAAATATATCTATTTACAAAATATTACAAATTATTAATATTTTATATAGAAATTCAATTTAACTTGTACATCAGAGATTTTTTCTCCATAACTTAATTTTTGGAGTTATCTCCAATAATACGAGGTAATATTTGTTATTTCTTATAATAATATTAGGGCAGACCTAATTTTGTCATGATTCTTTGTGTATTTTCCATTTTAGTCTTTTTTTATAATATTATGTTTTCATGTACGTTTGTAATATTGTCGCAGAATAGTAATAACTCATAGATTAACTGGTAAATCAGAGATTTACCATTCATTAATTATAAATTTAATATCTCCAGGCTTGGGAAAATTTTTTCAAAATTATTATGGGTTGGACTAGGCTTAAAAAATTTCTCAAAATTAATATTAGCTTGATTTTCAAAATTATTAGGGATTGAGGTGGGCTTGAGAATATTTTTTTAAATTATTAAGATCTTGGATGCCTGGAATTTTTTCCAATAGTACAAAAAATGTATAAAAATCATTAAGCATTATTACTCAAGTAGCTGTCATTAGTGAAAATAATTATAAATGTACATAATATTTTCATTATAACATTATATTACTACAATATTCATGAGTATTGGATATCAAAGTAATACATTAAATATATATTTTTTACAAAATATTACAAATTTTTCATATCATCATTAATATTTTATACATTTACTCAATAAAATACCAACAGTCTTAATTAATTTTTAAATGGAATTTATTTTTAAAAGCATTTTATAAATTTTTAAAATCAAAATATAATTATAACCTTGATCATAGTACAAAAAAAGTATAAAAATCAATAAGCATTATAAAAAATAAATTGTTAGAATTTACTTAGTATGATATTATTTTATAATTTAAACAAACTAGTAGATAGTCCGTCAAAAATGACGGAGTATGAGAATTTTATTCGTTTTTTTAGAAAGATGTTACCTTTTATTTAAAAATCATATCCAATTTATATAATTTTTAAACCCCCCCCTCCCCATTTAGGTCAAGTCCAAGCATCTATTTAAATGAGCTTGTACCCAATACCAAAATTCTTTGTAAATATATTACTGGTTACATAAGACTAACATTTAACATTTAAAAATTTCAAGCCAGGTCCAAGCTCATAATATTTGGAAAAAATTTCCACCCGTTCAAGACCTTATTATTTATAAAAAAAATTCTCAAGCCTAGCTCAACCCATAATAATTTTGAAAATTTTTTCCTAGCTCGGCCCATAATAATTTGTATAAGATATTCCCAAGTCAGGTGCAAGCAAATATTAATCTTGAGGAATATTTTTCAAGCCCAATCCATCCCATATTAAGTTTCAAAACTATTTCCCAAACCCGGAGATAGTTAAATTTTTAAAAATTTATCAACACATAAAGGGGAAATCTCGGATTTACCAATTAGTGGGTTAACTCCTTTTATCAAAAAATTTGATAAGGGCTATCTATATCTTTTAAGTACGAAAAAATGCTATTTATTTAAATTACAAAAATGCCATTCAATACTAATGAAACTTATATGCAATTTATTTATATATTTTTTAAGAAATTTGTTTTTCTTGCCATATAAATTTAGGTAATTTTTTTAAAAAATGATGAGGAATAATTATTACTCTGTGTGTCTGGTAAAATTAAGAACAAATCCTTTCAGTCGTCTGCAGAAGAAAAAATTAATGTATAATATCATCCCATTTAGGGTTGTAGGTGAAAGTAATGAATAATGACGGATTACCTAAGCAGTGTACAACACCCATTGCGTCCTGATAAAGCTGAGGCCTTGGGCTACTGATAAAAGAAGAACGCAAAATGATATTTCTGCCAAAGTGTCAGTTTTGGCATCCCCCTCTAAAATAGAATCATGAACGACATTGTCAACTCAACCATAAAACGGTCGTTAGTATTGTTATAAAGGCAATGACAAAACTACCGCATATTTTCCCATTAATAATGTTAATAAAATTGGCCGCACTACACATTCACGTTTGAACATCTCTCTAAATATTCATGAAAGTTCCTCAGAGAATCGGATAAAGTATTATTTATAATAACTCCTAATGAGGTAAATGATAGTGGAATTAAATGCTTTTATTTGTTAAAAATTAGGCAGAGGTGGCATAGGGATTGTGGTAGTGGTGGTAGAAATATCATTTGGAGGCAACTGGGTGTATAAAATAAACATATAGATATAAAACATTAGATAAAAAACAAAATAAACCTCCAGAGTAGTTCACAGTGCCTTATTATCTTGGCCACCAGTAACTCTAGAACGGGTAAGGCGGTTGTTGAATCGCCATATTTTTCTTTGCTTATTTTTAATAAAAGATTCATCATGTTTGGTAGCAATGTGAGGGATTAGGGTTAGCCTAGACAAATAAAGAAATCAGGCAAAAATATAAATATACTATTGTTGAAATTAAACAAACATTAAAATAATGTAAAACCGGTAGAAGGGTCAATATTAGATGCATATTTCTAATAAGTTGGAGGGCTATCATCAAATAAAATTTTTTGGGGACTAATCAAGTCTATTATGATATTCTAAAAGTTAAAAAGTAACATGATAAATGTAATGATTCAAGCATCCAAGATCTTAATATTTAAATAGATTTTCTCAAGCCCACCTTCCCTAGTAATTTTGAAATCAAGCCCAGAGATATTAAATTTATAACATAAGACTAACATTTAACATTAAAAAATCCTAATATAGGTTCTACCCTACAATATCTAGAAAAAATATCCAAGCATCCAAGACGAACATTTAATAATAAAAATCCCAATATAGGTTAAACTGGATAAAATATCCAAGCATCCAAGATCTTAATATTTAAAAAGATTTTCTCAGCCCACCTTCCCTAATAATTTTGAAATCAAGCCCAGAGATATTAAATTTATAATTAATGAAGAGGAAATATCTGATTTACCAATTAGTCAACAGGCAAAATATATTACTTTATAAAAAGAATAACATAAGACTAACATTTAACATGGGAAAAATATCCAAGCATCCAAGACTAACATTTAACATTAAAAAATCCCAATATAGGTTCAAGAAAAAAGCTTCCAAGATCTTAATATTTAAAAAGAATTTATCTAACCCACCTTCCCTAATAATTTTGAAACCAAGCCCAGAGATATTAAATAAGACTAACATTTAACATTAAAAAATCCCAATATAGGTTCAAGCCTACAATATGTGGAAAAAATATCCAAGCATCCAAGACTAACCTTTAACATTAAAAAATCCCAATATAGGTTCAAGCCTACAATATCTGGATAAAATATCCAAGCATCCAAGATCTTAGTATTTAAAAAGATTTTCTCAAGCCCACCTTCCCTAATAATTTTGAAATCAAGCCCAGAGATATTAAATTTATAACATAAGACTAACATTTAACATTAAAAAATCCTAATATAGGTTCTACCCTACAATATCTGGAAAAAATATCCAAGCATCCAAGACGAACATATAATAATAAAAATCCCAATATAGGTTAAACTGGATAAAATATCCAAGCATCCAAGATATATTTAAAAAGATTTTCTCAAGCCCACCTTTTCTAATAGTTTTAAAATCAAGCCCAGAGATATTAAATTTACAATTAATGAAGAGGAAATATCTGATTTACCAATTAGTCAACAGGTAAAATATATTACTTTATAAAAAGAATAACATAAGACTAAATTTAACATGGAAAAAATATCCAAGCATCCAAGACTAACATTTAACATTAAAAAATCCCAATATAGGTTCAAGAAAAAAGCATCCAAGATCTTAATATTTAAAAAGAATTTCTCTAACCCACCTTCCCTAATTTTGAAACCAAGCCCAAAATTTATAATTAATGAAGAGGAAATCTCTAATTTAATAATTATTCTACAGGTAAAATATATTACTTTATAAAAATAATAACATAAGACTAACATTTAACATTAAAAAATCCCAATATAATTTTGAGAAAAATTATACTTGATAAATAAGAGAATGTTCTATTTTGTAGGTCCTCGCTATCCCTAGTGCGTTTTTTTTGATTGATCTGCCATCTTTTTCTTTTATTAATGATGGATA